AACACCCCACATAAAAGTCACGCATTTGTATGTCACATGACCACCATGAGGAACCAAAAAAAGACAAAGATTCCCCATTTAGCCTTAATAGACTGTTGGGGCAAATGCTGTTCGCGAGCACCTATGAAGGCTGGCACAGTACACGAAGGAGTGGGTGGCCAACACCATGCCTGACCACCTTTGTCTCCCCAGTAGCACTGTTTTTACACAGCGCACCAGGTACTCATGAGGCTGAGTCGACCTCGGGGAGGCCCAGGACCGGTTCAGATAATCATCACCGGTGTTGGCTGTGAGCGGGAATCGAACATGAGTTGACAGGTTCATAGCGAATCGCGCTAACTGCTACACTTCCCTAAGAGGAACCAGCATGTAGAATAACGAGAATTTTAAAAAAACCTTCAGAGAAAAATACATAATGTATATATATATTTTTTAAATCCCAAAGAACCCTCTCCTCCTAGCTATTCTTCCTACTTTCTAACCGATCACCCTCCTACACAAATAAAAAGAAAATACTTATCTTAGAAATTTAAATATTCTGATATATACGTTTAACTTCTTTCACACCGTATATAGCCAACTGTGCTAATCAGAAGTGCGCGTGCTAACTTTAAGGATCAAGCTTCAGTGCTGCTGACCTGTACGACGGTCTGGCAATCCGTGACAACATCCTTCAGAAGAAAAGTGCCAACTGTGGATACCATCATGGGCACCAGCAAAGGGTTCACGACAGGGTCTATAAAAAGAGACGCATTCTGAAGGCAGACGAACGGCCTTGGCTAATCGGCATGGCACACCGTGTGTCTACACGAGTTACAGAACTCGAGAATGAAATCGAGTGCCCCCCCCTTTTGGCACCACCTTTCCGTGTTTTTAGTCAAATAGAGTTGGCTGCCATCTTAGGTTGGAGCCCGAATTTCCCTCCGGGAGGGGGCCTGGATTCTTCACGTGAGAAGTCGCACGAAATGGAAATACATCAAACAATCTGTTAAAAATGTTGCAGACGGCACAATCATTTGATTGAGCATTGAATCTTACAATACAGTTTAACATCTATAGGGCACCTAGATGCAACTGCATCTCCAGACGCTTCACAGGTAATGGATAAAAAATAGATAACACATTAGCTATACGCACATTAAAACAAATAAGTTAAGTCTTGACCTGAACAAGAACAGTCTCAAGTACACAAAGTTCAAATGGCAGAGAATTCCAGACACAAGGAGCAAAAGCGCAGAAGGAGCGACCTCTCCTGTGGAATGGAAGGTTGACTGGGCTTCGTAAGGAGGCATTAATTGATCAAGTGAAGACAACATGCGGAGAGTTGAAGTGAGATGAGAGTAGAGGGTGGGTTGGGGTAAGACCATAAATATTTCTTATGAACAAGCACTGATATCTTGTCAGCAACAGACAAGTATTTTACTCAAATTTTTTTTGGGAGAAAAGTCTTAATGGGAAGTATTTCTGGTGAAGACCTGCCCAACCTGCGTTGATAACTCGAATCATGGAAAAACTACTTTTGTTTAACCAACTCGGGCTGTCGATCGACGAGTTCTGCGAAAAATCAGATATACTCGAGTCAACTGTCCATGGAAACAAAGTGTTATTCCTCTCACTTGTCTTCACTTCCTGGTCTGAAAGCAGATAGCAAAAATTACTGTACTGTAACATCACGAGCCTGCCCACATTCACCATGAACATAACAACGGTTAAAACCCCACATCCTCGGAACACTCGACAAGGGCCCAGCTCACTGCGCAACATCAGCCATTAACATCTACCACTGTGCCGGACCAGCCAATCATCATGAGATAAACCAGTGATATAACCGATGGGGAAAATGATGAGATCACCATGCTAATACTAACCAGTTTAGCAACATTACCATATTACATGCACCGTGTTATCGGCCATGCGAATTAAGGTACAGCCTGGTTGTATGAGCTCCACAGTTGGGTGCCACCGTGTGAGACGTTAACTACGTCGCCTGGTAGTACAGGATATCGTGGGTTCAATCCCAACCCAGTTTGTACGTTCTCTCCGTGGCCGCGTGTATTTTTCTCCGGGTCCTCTGGTTTAAATACATGCGTTTACAGTATTTGGCCACTATAAATTTCCACACAATAGCCACTTCGTTGAGCTATCATTGGTGGCGAAGTAGCTTCTGAAAAATAACTATAGAGCTCGATGGGCCTTACCTGGTAAAATAGTTCACAGCATGAGATTACAACCCTGGCGAGTTGTGCTGTGCTGTCAGGAACTGCTCGGGGGCTTCAAAACAGCAGAGTGGGAAGGACTTGCATGCAGACAAGATGCAAGCAGTGCAATAAAATTTACCCTGCACTGTATAAACATGCCGTCATCTACCGCAGTAAAAACACCGAATCATCAAACGTCCACGTGGTCAGCATTTCATGCCGTGCCAAAAAGCCCCCTAACGGCTTTTAACCATCACGTCAGGACAGATACACGGACAACTGCCTGGAAGCAATACACAAGCACTCACTTTAAATTTCCCTCCATTACAGTACTGTACTCACATTCTTTAGATATTACATAGAGGACAAACATGCTCACGTGCTTTCCATTGCCGAGTCAATCCACTGTTGGATTTTGAGAGTTGTTTGACCAATAAGTAGAGCAATGGATTATGCTGCCATGTAACCTCATCGTTTATAAATATTTAATTGAATGGGTCCTCAAAGGTTTAATTATACATATTAAATTTAATTATTTTTTAAATAAAGGAATATAGTGTACAGTATTTGAATGTAAAATACATTATTGTACTATACTATGCTTCCACGTCTATGCTCTCTGCCTTTACCAACCAGCACTTAGCCCGTATGGTGAAGTATGGTCAAACAACCACCACAAGCCGCACAGGGTGGGAAGACCTTCATCCATCCGGCAGTGGAGTGACACACAGTCGTGTGAGTGTTCGTGGCAGGTGAGTTAGGGATGTGAATGACAGCATTCAACATCTCTAACTCAGTGAGCTGGTGGATCAGAACACGGCCAGGAATGGAGTAGCTGGGTATATTGATTGAGGTGGCGATTATCCTGAGCCGGTCCTGGGCCTCCCCTAGGTCGACTCAGCCTCAGATGAGTATCTGGTGCGACGTGCAAACATCGCCACTGGGGAACCAAAGGCGGCCAGGCGTGGTGTTGGCCATCCACCCCCCTCATGTGCCGTGCCGGTCTTCATAGGTGCTGCTCGCTAACATCACTTGCCCAAACAGTCTGTTCGGGTTGTACGGGGGATCTTTGTATTTGGTGTAGTGTAAAAGCGGCCTGCTCGGGTGTTGTGCGAGCCAGCGATGTCTATGCGAAGGCAACTCGCACAGTGTGTGGCGCAGTGCAGCAGGCAGTGGATACTTGCCACTCCTGTTGCGCTTCTGTATCGTTTGCTGTTGTAACGTTTGTTGTTGTAATGTCCGACTGGCCATCTCTAAACCTACCGGACATCTGCGATAGAAAGAGCTTCACAGTTAATCGGATTCCTCTAGTATAACACAAATATTCAGATCCTGTGTTGAGAATGGGGGGCCTTGTTAGTAAGCTGTCTTCGGGGGAAGGGAAGGGGGGGGTCGAGGACGCGCTCACGGCCACGGGGCCCCCACCCCCGTCTGGAACGAAGCAGCGAGCCGCGCCAGAGACCCTGAAGACCCCTGCCCCCCCCCGTCTGTGTCGTTCACAGCCCCCCTGTACGCACTGGGCTCTCCTTGAGGGCTGTGCCGTCGTTGGCGTTGTTTGGCGCCCACGTGTGCGAGTGGGGGTCGCCTTTAGCGCGGTTGTTGTTGTTGTTGACTGGGGCAATTCCTGAGGCGCTCGGAGATGGATCTGCCCTCTCCTCGCGGCCAGGCGAAGCGAGGAGACGAGGAGAGACCTCCATGAGGAGACTGGGGACCTCCGTGAGGAGACTGGGGACCTCCGTGAGGAGACTGGGGACCTCCGTGAGGAGACTGGGGACCTCCGTGAGGAGACTGGGGACCTCCGTGAGGAGACTGGGGACCTCCGTGAGGAGACTGGGGACCTCCGTGAGGAGAGTGGGGACCTCCGTGAGGAGAGTGGGGACCTCCGTGAGGAGAGTGGGGACCTCCGTGAGGAGAGTGGGGACCTCCGTGAGGAGAGTGGGGACCTCCGTGAGGAGAGTGGGGACCTCCGTGAAGGAGAGTGGGGACCTCCGTGAGGAGAGTGGGGACCTCCGTGAAGAGACTGGGGACCTCCGTGAGGAGAGTGGGGACCTCCGTGAGGAGAGTGGAGACCTCCGTGAGGAGAGTGGAGACCTCCGTGAGGAGACTGGGGACCTCCGTGAGGAGAGTGGGGAGACCTCCGTGAGGAGAGTGGAGACCTCCGTGAGGAGACTGGGGACCTCCGTGAGGAGACTGGGGACCTCCGTGAGGAGAGTGGAGACCTCCGTGAGGAGACTGGGGACCTCCGTGAGGAGAGTGGGGACCTCCGTGAGGAGAGTGGAGACCTCCGTGAGGAGACTGGGGACCTCCGTGAGGAGAGTGGAGACCTCCGTGAGGAGAGTGGAGACCTCCGTGAGGAGAGTGGGGAGACCTCCGTGAGGAGAGTGGAGACCTCCGTGAGGAGACTGGGGACCTCCGTGAGGAGAGTGGGGAGACCTCCGTGAGGAGACAAGATACATCCGTGAGGAGACAAGATACCTCCGTAAGGAGACTGGGGATCTCCATGAGGGAGCCCTCTGTAAGGAGACTGGGGACCTCCGTGAGGAGAGTGGAGACCTCCGTGAGGAGACAAGATACCTCCGTAAGGAGACTGGGGATCTCCATGAGGAAGACCTCTGTAAGGAGACTGGGGACCTCCGTGAGGGAGACCTCTGTGAGGAGACAGGGGACCTCCGTGAGGGAGACCTCCGTGAGGGAGACCTCCACGAGCCGGGCTTCAAACCCCCGTGGCCCCACTTCCGAGGGCCGGTGTCGCGCGCCCACCTCGCAGTCTCTCACCCCGACCCCGCGAGTCCCGCCACTCACCAAGCCTCGCGTCACCGCCGTGGCCGCCGCGAGCAGAGCGACCCCGAGAGCGAGCCCGAGAACGAGCCCGAGACCGAGCCCGAGACCGAGCCGAGCCATACCGCCTCCTCCTGCCGCGATCTCCGTCTCCGCAGGTCTCTTCTCTTCCTTCACTCGCGGCGCTCGTGCGCGATGACGTCACGCCCAGTTAACGCGTGGGCGTGATGACGTCAGGCCCAGTTGACGCGTTGGCGTGATGACGTCACGTGGCGTGATTTGCCCCCCACACCCCACGCCGCGTCACGCGCCTCCTCCAGCCGCTCGCGGGGAGTGTGCGCTGTCACGTGTGAAGGCAGCCCCGCCCCTCTCACCCCACCCCGCCCCCCACGTGCTCGTCACGTCGCCTCGCCCACCCACGTGGCTCGGTTGCTGTCAGTCGCGGCAGTGGGAGATGTATTTATTTATTAAACGCATCTCCCTCCAGCTGCTTGGCATCGGGTGTCAGCAGCTCCCGTGCACGTTAATGTCAAGCTGTGGCTAGGAGATGCTAACTACCTCGCCTGGTATGCAGGAGGTCGTGGGTTCGATCCCGACCCTGACGCCTGCTGCTGTGGTAGCGTGGACTTGTCTTCGTGTTCTCCGGGTTTCCCTCCACATTTAGAATCAACACGCGTTTAGTCTTTGGCTGCTGCTATAATTTTCCACATAAGCCACTTCGTTGAACTATCATGTGACCAGGTCGCTTCTCAAACATTTGTGGGCCTTACCTGGTAAAATAATAGTTTAGTGTGTACTGTACATGGACCAGCTGTCAGTCCACTGATGGATGAGGGTTCGTTTTGATGATACCATCTCCATCCCACTGATGCTCGTGCTTGTGAGCTTGGAAAGCGCCAATAAAAAGAACGCTTACAATATTTGTAACCTGTACTTTGCTTTATTAAACCACAATACAAAGTCGACTTGCTGTGCATATTGAATGAGGATTTTTTTTTTTACTCCAAGTTTTGCAGGGGACAGGAGGAGACGGTGTTTCCGTGTCTGTGTTTTATCACACTTCTAATTTAGCAACCTTTGGGAGAACGATCATCAACCAGGCTATGCGTCAACTGTGTGTTAGCCGACCCTCTGTGTTGCAATGCATTACACGTCTTAATTTTACTAAATTTGCTCTCTCAAACTTTCGATTTTCTTGCTCTAAACCATTGTCTCTCCTCCGGCCACTGTGGTCCGGAATGCCACACTGCTCCCTCCTTGTCCCCTCGTCTGTCCGCTGGTCCCCTCTCGTCTGTCCGCCTCCCCAGTCCTCTCTCTGCCTCAGCCCTCCCCCCCCCCTCTCTCTATTTAACGCCTCGGCACAGATTCGTTGTCCTTCTGTTTGTCTTGGTGTGTGTCTCGCTCGGTGTGTCTTTGTGTGTCTCTCTGCATGTGTCTGCCTATGCTGTTCCCGTGTCTGTGTTTTATCATTCATCCTTACCTGATGATGGTTGCTTGTGTTGCAACCGAAACGTCGTATTCCATTATTATTTGATTTTATTTTCTACGTGACTTACCGAAATAACCAAAGTTTGCATGCATTGTGAAGGTGCTTTTTTAAAATCCATATCTTTCCTGTTCACGGTTTATTAGAATACTGTGGTGCAAATAATATCACAATGGTAAATATAGTAGTTTTAAATTAAACCTGTATTTAAAAATATATGATCTACTAAATAGCATTTACCCATTAACGCTCTATCGATTCGTCAAATAGTGCACACAAAGTCGGCTTATGATTAATACAAACATGTAAGTGATATGCTGTTACATCGAGGCTAATGCAGCAGACATTGCTAAACAATCGAGGCGGCGAAGCTGTTGACTCTCGAATCGAATCCCGACCCAAATCGTGACAATTCACCAAATCACTCTGGGGGATCTCATTGCATGCTCAGCATCTTTCTTAAATCTTGACTTAAAGTTTTCGTGACAGCAGGAATTAATATTCTTGGGTTTTTCGGTAAAGTCACGTAGATAGGTTCAACGAAAATAACCAAAAATAACAAAAAACTGCAAAAAATATATATAACAAAAATCTACTAGTTTTTTGTTATTTTTTGTTATTTTCTTTGCACCTATCTACGTGACATTACCGAAAGACCCAAGAAGATGAGCCCCTTTTCAATCCACAGCTGTATGAAGATCTCCCCATGTGGATAGTAGGGGTTACCTGACCAAACTTCACCACGCTGGTCAGTGCGGGTGTTGGTGATGTAGGGGAGTACAGACGTGGAAGCATATATTTACTATACAACATTGCAATCTGCTGCACTGACGTCTACTGAACACCATGTAGCCCTGCAGCTGCCGATGGCAATCTGCTGGCACATGAGAGTCACCAACCCAAGTAATTTCCAGGCTCAAACCCGCTTGGCCTGTGGGATCCAGCAAGCGGTGCTTTTCTGGCAATTTGGTCATCGGCGAATCATCCCGTGCCTGCATAGCACCACCTCTGGATACCACCTATCCCGTCACGGTACGGGCAGCGGCTTTACGCCGCGTTACACTGCCCACACCGAGGTGCCGACAGCAAGCATCTTGCGCTCGCTGTGTCCCCCCAGCACGGGTCCGTGGGGTGGACACAAGCGAGCAAAGGCTCCGGCCGCCCATCCTGCGCTAGGTTTCACATGTACCCCATGTTGCTCTTCGTCTCCCACCGTTTCTTAGCTTCGAATCTGCAACAAGATAAAAAAAAATGCGTGAAAGATAGACCATACAGAGAACATACAAAGAACACGTGTGAAAACGTGCGATGCTGTGTTGGCAGTGGTGCATGTGAGTAAATAACAGCAACGGAACGCATCAAGAGCGCCGCCCTGATGATATATGTTTTTAAATCAGTGACATTTGGAGCAATGGTCCTTCTTCACAGCACATAAGGGTCATTACCCGACACGTTGCCCATTACATATTTTTCCATCTATTTTCTTAACTGCTGTATTTCTATTAAATTATTGATATCAGGGCCCCACGGTTATGTAGTACAGCCTGCAAACATTAACCACTCAATATCTCTCGCCTCTTCCCTCTCTCGGCTATGAAGAACGGCCATTTCTCTAAACGTTGTCTATTTTCTTTCTCTTTGGGATACACTTATGAGTGGCACATTGAAACACGAGGTGTGTTTAGGCATTCTTGCTCGAACACTCATTGTCGTCATCAACGGGATTGATCTATTCACTGCTGGACGAAGGCCTCCTCTCTCCCAAGCCGTCACATCCCTCATTCTCAAGCGGTGAAACAATCCATCGGGCATCGAGTATTTGTTATATTTTGTGTGTGTTGTTGTGCAAGTGTATGTACACTCGGTGTTAGCGTGTACGTGCATGTGTTCTGTACGTATGCGTATATCTGATCTGTAAGAATCGTGCTGCGTTATCGAGAATGAGTAGTTTTTTTAGTTGGTTTATTGTTGTTTTTTAATGTTTTTATTGTGGTAATAACACGAGCTCGGTACAACGCGCCGATGCGGCGGTGGGGGGACAGAAAAGGACAGAAAATCCGCAGGGGTGAGGGGAGGGCTCTTGGCGTCTCCACATTTAAATGGGGGTAGTAGGCTCGATGCCTCAACCTATGGTATTCTTTCGTCGGGAAGAGGGGGGCTTATATATGGGGGGGGGAGGTACAGAGATAACCAACATTCTGCGGGGAGTCTGGGTGGAAGGGAGGTGAGCGTGAGTAGTTTTTGATCAAGCGCCCCACCCCATACGCCTCAGAAGCGCCTTACATCATCGTATCTAATCTCAGCACAATTGAAAGAGCTTCCCTCAGTGGCAGCTGTCCCCGTGGATACAACGTGACCCAGAGCCTGGCCTGCAAACGGGCATCAGTCTGCCAGTAAGATGCAAATACTACGTGCAATTCCCAGTTTCGAATTTGGTAAATGTGGACCCCGATATGCCACTACATAGTGGCCTACTCTGGCGACGGACATTCAGGGATGGCCACCGCGAGGCAGGCAGCGTGTGGTATCATCACGGTCATTACACCCGCAGTATTAATTAGGGCATCCGTCGGATGCGAACTGTGAACCTCCACCACAAACGGTGGACGTGCTAATTGGCAGGCCATGTCACCACTGAAGAAAAGAGAAAACATCGAAAAATTTAACGAAATGCAGGTCTCTTGAAAAGCTGTGTGAATGTATGGCAGGCTGTATCAGGGCATTTAGATCAGTGTGTAGATTCTGTGACTATTGTGCACCTGTATGCGTGTGCATAAATATTGCATATTTGTATATACGGTGTGTAAGCATCATTGTTAATTTAAAACATTCCTGCGGAGGGAGCTGGTAGGAACGTTGGGTTGCTCGGTCAATGGCCAGGGTCAATAGCGGCGTGGTGTATTCCGCAAATATGCCCGACTGTGAGGGCGGGCACAAGCCGGCGTGAGTAGGTTAAACGTTGAGTTTTATAAGGGTACCACGGGGTGACCAGCCCCTCCCCCACCCAGCCCCACCCTCCCCACCCAGCCCCTCCCCACCCAGCCCCTCCCTCCCCACCCAGCCCCTCCCTCCCCACCCAGCCCCTCCCTCCCCACCCAGCCCCTCCCTGCACGACGGACGGACAAAATAATCCCCTGTGGGCTGGTGTAACCAGGAGGTTCCTACCAGTATTATTCAAAACAGTCTACTGTGAGCAGCACCAGGGCATCAATGGTGTAAACATCCTCATGCTCTCGTATTGAGTCATATCCTGTCAGATCCAACCCGTGTGGGTTGGCTACGATCCGCATCTGGCTTTAGAGGATCTGTCTCTCAATCTTGATTTGAGGCTTTCGTGACTGCAGGAATCCATACGCTTGGTTCTTTCGGTAAAGTCACGTAGGCATAAAACAAAATAAATCACGACGTTTCGGGCGCAACATAAGCGTCCGTCATCAGGTGGGAAAACTTAGTCTGCTGCTGAGGCTGTAATATGTATTACACCCGTTGGGTAGCACTCCCTCGTCGAGGAGGCCCACCTCTTCTCCTTCTTTTCTACAGTTACATGCTAATTTCTCACTTTAACATCATGCTAATCCCTCACATTAACATAGCCACTTCCGTGCCCTCTAATTTCTCACATTAACATCATGCTAATCCCTCACATTAACATAGCCACTTCTGTGCCCTCTAATGTCTCACATTAACATCATGCTAATCTCTCACATTAACATAGCCACTTCCATGCCCTCGTCGAGAAGGCCGCTTTCCTTATTTTCTACAGTTACATGCTAATCTCTCACATTAACATCACTAGCCCTGGCCACTTCTTTATAACCCTTGAGCTACACCCATTTCAAACCTTTTAAAACAGTCTGCCTCAGCAGCAGACCATGCTTTCCCACCTGATGACGGACGCTTGTGTTGCGCCCGAAACGTCGTGATTTATTTTATGCCTACGTGATCTGACTCTCATTGCTGGTAATTCTCAACAGCGGCGTTTGAACATGAACACAATGCACGGACGTGAAAATGAGCATCGATGATAAAGTGGCAGCCAAGAGAAGAAACTACGCCAGGAAAGTACGTCCGTCAAGGAGAAGGAGCAATTCAAGCAGCTCGTGTGTAAGTGGATCGTTGTGCCACTATCCAACTTGCTATTTGCTCATGTTGTTGTTGTCGTCATCAACAGCTGATCTTATCCATAATAGTTTTTTTTTGGTTAGATCACGTAAATATAAATATGTCGTTAAACCCGCCACCACCCCACACAGCCAATCGGTAAGGTTTAAGGTAAACAAAACGTGATAGTTAGTTACTAGTACAGCACACCGGTGTGTTGGAGAGTAAACCCACTACAACATTTACAATTCGAGTATCGTGACGTTTCGCCAGCAATTACAAGTAGCATCATCAGGCGACAGCCAGAGTTTTGGAAAAAATCCTCTTCCTGTTTCAGTCTTAAATAGAGGGATACATGTGATGTCATCACTTGTGGGCCAATCAGGTGCGAATCCCAGAGGGGAGGGGGGTTAACGTATTCATATAATGCATAAATGTGTAATTTTAACGACACCTTTATATTTACGCAATCTAACCCAAAAAAACTCTATTATGGATATTGGTTGTAAAAGCCTTCGTGTTTAACTAGCTAATCTTATCTTTAATGTAATTTACATAGCACCTTAACCAAGGCGCTTTACAGAGAATTAAGAATGGTACAACGCGTGTGAATGTAACGGTGGAGATTAGGTGAACGAAATAGATAAAAAAAGCAATGGAGGTGAATCTGTGCATTAAGTGAAAGCAAAAATTTATGACAGCAAATGATGACGAATGGATTGAATGAATGGGGGAATGAGTGATAGCCATGTCATGAGAACATGAAGAGGGACCGGTAACGGTGGTAGTGGTTAAGAGGTCGGAGATTAAGGGGGGTCATGGGGTTAGCTCTGGAAAATAATTGAGTGTTGAGTAAGGAGCGGAGACTAGTGAGCGACATGTGAATGCGTGGGAAGCGAGGCTTGTGGAGGGCACAGCGTCACACCTACCCCCACGCCAAGTTGGGTTTCTTCTTTTTGAACTTGGCTTCCGACATCGCGCGCTGCTCTGCTACAAATTCGCGGCACTCCACCGCCTTGCTCACCATCACCCCAAACTGCAAGGAAAACATTGTAAATGTGTAAACCATAAAATAAAAAAATGCCCAATAACGAAAGAGATTTAATGAGGAATAAAACTGGCTCACGTGCATTGATACCCTGGTTTACGCCAGGGGTGCGTTCCCGAAAGGAGCGAAGACGAATATCGAAACGACGTCAATCAAAGCAAGTGACAGGGAGGCAAAGCCTGAGGCGACGGATATGATAAAAGACGGATGCTGATGTGTGGGCAGAGGCGCCAAGGTGGCGAGATATTCACTACCTCGCCCGGTGTACAGGAGGTCATGGGTTTGATCCCGACCCCGATGCCTCGAAATTTGGAGTATGCATGCTCTCCCAATAATCACGTAAATTTTTCTCCAGGTCCTCCGGTTTTTTCCTCCACATTTAAAATCAACATGCATTGAGAGGATTGGGCTGATATACATTTCCACATGATAAACCACTTAAATCGAGCTATCATTTGTGGCCAGGTCGCTTCTGAAAAAAGAAATATACTCGACAGCTCGGTGGGCCTTACCTGGTAAAATAAATAATAGTTTATAGCCGTTTGAAATCATGCAGTGGTATTAATAAAGTGATGACGTATTTGGGAAACGACGTAAAAGGGGTGCGACTGTACTTTGCTTAATTTGAGTCAGCTCTCGATTATTAATGGGGGAGTGGAGTTCACAACGCGCGTCAGTTAGGTGATGACGACACACAATTTCATTGTTCACACTGCATCGAGTGGGGCTGATCGGGTTTTACTTTCCGACAAGTCTGTGGCACCGATTCACTGACTCACGGACAGGTGGTCACCAGCGAATAGAGCCGGCGTACGCGTAGAGAAGTTTCACGCTTTGTTTTTTAAACAAAGCGCGAGCCCGTTGCAGCATGTTGCGTAGCTTGTTAAGTCCGACGACAGCGTTCACATGATATGATCGCAACGCAGTCGAGTCATTCGATAGGAGGGGTGGTTTGGGTTTTACTTTTTTCTTAACAGAGACTGCCAGATACTGCTGCTGCTGCGTATTGATGTTCCATACTGGTGCGATTGGACATTTCACTTACACTGCCTTGATAGATTTCCCTCGTCATTGAAAGGTGCAACCCTCCATGTACTCGCTCACGCCACTGTTGGAAGGACCTCCACGAGAGGGAGCTCTAGAGAACTCCTCTAGAGTGTGTTTGGCCTACTCATCCACACCGGCGAGAAATCTTGAATAGAGGTGGAAGTACCCACACTCCACCCCACCACGCACGCGACCTGCCCGTCTAACTGTGGTGAACCGACTTACACTGTCGAGACTGAACCACTGGATTGTGAGTCGAGTGTGCGAATCATTACACCCTGGCAGCCCCCCCCCCCATTGCTGTAAAGTGACGTTGGAAAGTTCTCATGGCCGTGGCTCCACGCAGGATGGATGCGGGGCGCATATGAAGAGGACGACGCACCTCTCGCGACGCCACCTGGTCACTCAGCCGGTCGGCCACGTCAATGTCGCCCTCGGCAATGGCGGCCTCCACCCTCTTGTCCAGACGGCCCTGTCCGAGCAACGCAGCCCATTACGCACGACACAATCTCATACGACGTGTAAACACACGCGCATAACACACTGTATAATGATAATTATGACAAGTACGATCACATATGCTCACAGTACCATTACCTTAATCACGTAATTTCTAATTATTATAAGAATTTAGAGTCCTTTGTCAATCCCCTGCTGAAATAAATCCTCCCCAACACCAGGACAGTCATTTCATCCCGCACCTCCGATTAGCACGGTTGGTTACGTACGGTGCGGAAGAAGTTCAACGTACATATATATATATACACGTGTTGTTTGACCAATCCTCACCACACTGGCCAGTGTGGGTTGGTTAAGTAGGGGGGAGGTGCCCAGGACCAGCTCAGATCACTCGTCACCGATGTTAGCAGGAGCTGGAATCAAACTCAGGTTGGCGGGTTGATAGCGCAGTGTGCTAACCACTGCGCCACAGCTCCCCACAATGTCAACACAAATCTGTACCGTGACGTCACGAAGCGACACGTACAAGTAAACTGACAACACGCTGTGACTAGGCTGCCGCTACACCATTAGTGTAAACACCAACACATAAAAACGGTTGTGAGAATTGCCACTCACACGAGTGGCAGTGGGAAACGCACACTTTATATTACGTAAAAGTATGCCTAGAAAAAACAAGTGCTTGCAAGTTCGCGGCGATAACGTTTACAGACGTGTCTGCAATGTGAATTAACAACCCGAATGTGAACTCTTAAAAGCAAAGTGGGGAGCAACGGAGTCCTTGACACACACAGACGTACAGCCCGTCACATGAGTCCCTGACACACACAGACGTACAGCTCGGCACAGGAGCTCCATAAACACGGACGTCAGCATCAGCTTAAAGGTCGTAATATTCTTCTTTTCTTTCGCATGGCTGATGTAGATGCAAGCCAGATAAGTGCGGCAGGATGATCGGAGTGTATCGCTATACCCTTCAAACACAATGCCTCCCTCTTCCCTTACTCCCTGAGAATATCCATACGAACATTCACCTGTATTTATATTCTGAGTAACAAACCCTTCTAAAATCAAACGTATTACGTGTAAACTCATTTGTATTAAACATAAATGTGTCGAAAGATGAGGACACAATGCATCCTGGGTAACCATGTTGCAGAGTGGTGTATTGTTGAAGACAGACGCATTTTCTGTCTTCAACAAGTGGTGGCATGATGTTAACTCCCTTGCCTGGTATGAAGGAGGTTGTGGGTTTGATCCCGACCCTGATGCCTGCTGTATATTTGGAGTTTGTATCTTCTCCCCGTGGTCACGTGTATTTTTCTCCGGGTCCTCTGGTTTTTCTCCCCACATTTATAGTCATGCATTTAGAGTATTTGGCTGCTACAAATTTCCACGTGATGATAAGCCACTTTGTTGAGCTATCATTTGTGATAGCAATGTCGCTTCTGAAAAAGTGCTATGAAGCTCAGTGGGTCTTACCTGATAAAATAAAAATAGAACAGAATAGTCTCACCTGGTCACTTATTTGTGGGCCTCAGTCAGTATTTGAACAGGATCAGAGAGGCCTTCATGAAATGTAGATTCGTCAACTCTTCATACACTAACGCGAAATTATTATAAATGCTAAAACCACAATTTAACGTATAACTGATTGAGAAGAAAACATTCCGTGAATTATTACGTAGAGAGTAATCCAAACGCATCTCAGTCTCTCCACACGACAGGATTGGCAACAACCAGAACATTCCAAAAGTGAAAAATCGTAAACACCGGACCCCCTTTATCTTGCTCAGGATCATCACAGAGAAACTTGTACAACTAGACCAAAATCCGCCATTCGCCATGAAGTGGCGGTGACATCACCACGGCGCTTGTGCCAGGCCAGGTGCATTTTGAGGAAAACTACACCAGCATGCCACACATGAGCAGTTTACCCGTTAATGAGTAACATAAAAAAACCTTCAAAACTCGGTAAACAAGATTGAGAGAATGAGAAAACTGCCATCCCTGCAAAATCAACAAGTGCAGTAAAATTATACATCACCACCACACACCCCCTCACCCGACAGATGGTAAACAACAGGGAATCGTAAACAAGCAGGTGTTTGTTTCAATGTCAAATTTTAACGCATTTTTAAATCCACTGACCTATGGTCTGGAAGGGGCCTTGACTAAAAGGTCGGTGCACGATATATACGGACACATGTGATGCTCTGTATGACCAGATTACCCAGAAAGCGCCCATTCTGTATGTATGTTCAAATTCTTTCGCACCATACTAGCCAATCGTACTAATCTGAGGTGCACAACCATGCTAATTCTCGTCAGACTGTGGAAGCTAAGCATGGTTGAATCTGCATAGGGGTGCTGCGGTGGGGAGTTGTTAACTACCTCGCCTGGTATACAAGAGGTCGTGAGTTCGATCCCGACCCTGACACCTGTATATTTGGAGTTTGCATGTTACTCTTCCTGTGGTCGTGTGGATTTTTCTCCGGACCCTCCTGTTTCCCCCTCCACATTTAGAAACATGCGTTTTGAGCATTTGGCTGCTATACATATACATTTGTGGCCAGGTCGCTTCTGAAAGAGATCTATAGATCTCAGTGGGCCAAACCTAATAAAATAAAATTAAATCATAGTTTTAGTGTTTGGATGGACCACCAGGGGGCCTCTGTGGTGGGTGGCAAAGGGCAGGAAGATTGAGAACAGATCAAGCTTAACACGCAGAGTATCTCACTTCCATGGCTGTAACATTGCTCACAGGGTGACCGCATTAGGGACTGTGCGATAACCGCAGGAGAGAAACCCATACTACCCCAACCAAAAATACCTCAACGACTTTATCAGAGATCTTGGTCTCACCAAGTCCAATGCCGAGCATTTGACGTCTAGGCTCAAGCAGTCGAACTTGTTGGATGAAAGTGTGCAAGTCGCAGATCAGAGGAAGCGTCATGAACCTTTTTGCAACTTCTTCACCCATCAAGATGGGCTCTGCTTCTGCCACAATGTGACCAGTCTGTTCGAGGCAATCGGAATCGCCTGTAACCAGAATGAGTGGCGCCTCTTCATTGACAGCTCATCCAGGAGCCTCAAAGCCGTGCTGCTCCATAATGGTAACAAGTACCCGTCTCTTCCCCTGGCTCACTCGGTGCACCTCAAAGAGGATTACAACAGCATAAAGACTTTTCTGGACGCCTTGAAGTATGATGAGTATGGCTGGGAGGTCATCGGAGACTTCAAAATGGTGGCATTTCTTATGGGTCTCCAAGGCGGTTTTATAAAGTTTCCCTGCTATCTTTGCCTTTGGGACAGCAGGGACACCAAGGCGCACTACCACAGGCGGGACTGGCCACAGCGGACCGAGTTCTCTGTGGGGAGGAACAATGTCAAGTGGGAGCCACTGGTGGACCCCCGGAAGGTGCTGATGCCACCAATGCACGTAAAATTGGGCTTTATGAATTTTTTTGTCAGAGCTGTAGATAAGGAGTCAGCAGCCTTCAAGTACCTTCAAAACTTCTTGCCTAAGCTGTCTGAGGCAAAAGTCAAAGCCAGTGCCTTCGTCGGATTACAGATGAAGAAGATCCTGGAGTGCAATGAATTCCCCAAGAAGCTCACTAGTAAGGAGAAAGCGGCTTGGAACAGCTTTGTCGCAGTGGTTCGTGGCTTCCTGGGCAATCACAAGGTCGAAAACTACGTGTAGCTGGTTGAGACTGGTGAAGAACTACGGCACAATGGGCTGTGGGATGTCCCTCAAAGTCCATATCCTTGGTGCTCATCTTGATCAATTCAAGAAGAATATGGGAGCATAGTCGGAGGAGCAAGGTGAGCGCTTCCACCAGGATATACTGGACTTTGAACGCCGCTACCAAGGACAGTATAACGAGAACATGATGAGAGACTACATGTGGGGGCTTATTCGTGAAAGTGATTTATAGTATAATCGTAAATCTCGAAAAACTACTCACTTCTACATCTTTTGTAGTCATTTTTGTATTACTTTAGTATAAATACATGTCCATTTTTATTCATATGTTGTTTTTCTCTGACTTAATGTGAACGAAAAGACACAAATTCACCCATTTTCTCATTGAAAATAGGTACATTTCAAAATATCAATGTCCTGGTCACAAAAGCAAAGCTTGTGGGGAATAATAGCCATTTTCTATACTTTTTAGGCATAAGCAATGAGGAAATAACACTTACTACCCAGGAACAAAAATTGTGTTACATAGTGTAATATATGCGTTGTCCTTGAAACTGTTTGGCCTACACCAGAGACAGAATTCTTCATGGCCTAGTCTCACCAGCGTCAGACCAGAGAACACCAAAAGGCGAAAGGCTCAAAGACAATGCCACACGCATCAGAGGATGTATAGCTTGGGTTGAGCTGCTATATTATGGGACATTTTTGCCAGTATCAAAGTATGAAAAAGAAGAATAGGTTTGGTTCAAATTTGGATCATCTCAAGGGCACTATCTTGCATCCCATCGCGCACAGATGGCCAAAGGTAATGCATAAACGCTTTAAACCTGAACTGGAAAGCATTGAACATTCCTCATGAAGTCAAATACAGGCCAAGTAGCGATCTTTCAGTACCGGAAACAACCAATTTAAGTTGGGTACATCATTATCAGTTTAAGTCGTCGATCAGTTTGATGTCATCCACAAAAGTGTCTACTATCACTTGTAAGTTGCTCAATCGCTCGCTACCAAGTTGTGTTTGTGTGCTGCACGCGCTTGCTCTGGCATGCCCGAGGGACTACTTTGAGCAGCGTAGTGGTACTATGCTGTTATTGGCCGATGTATGCCTCCACCACTCGCCTCTTGACCTCCCTCGACTCATTCGAGCCACATCGCCCCCCCCCCCCCCCCATGATAATGTGAGCAAATATACCCTGGCAAGATTTATATACCTATTGCGCGTCTTATTTTATTGTTATGTAATGTTCTTTTATTTGTATGTAAATATATATTTTACTTATTTTCCTCCATTATTTGCAATCTATTAGGACTTTACATATGGAGTATCGGAGTGCTGGAACGTATCTCCTGTATTTTAGTTCGTTCTTACCGGAAATAGCTAATCAGTTAACGTCGTCCCAGTTTAAGTCGTGTTTTCCAGGAACGTAACCCCGACTTAAACTGACCATTCCCAGTACTGCACTGATGCAATGCAGCTCTCTTGCAAAACACTTCTCTTATTATCGTGCAGTGCTGGCCCCAGTGACGATTGTGACGTCACTGGTTCATCGTGACAATGGGACGTGCACGCTCTCACGTCACTTGCCCAGCTGCGTGCATTTTAAACCGCAATGAGAAGTAACACACAATGGAGATTTTCACTCAACGCAGGCCAACCTACTCTTACAATAAACTTAATCTACATCAGTGCTCTTCAATAACTTTCAGAGGGGGGGCGCTTTCGCCAATAAGACATCATCAGTGTGAGGGCCACCACACATTTGAAACCATTGGGGTTTGATAGAACGTTGATGATGGGGGGTATATTCTTTGGGTCTTTCGGTAAAGTAACGTAGATAGGTTCAAATAATTAAAAAATAATTAAAAAAACGATCAATTTGAACCTTTCTACGTGACTTACCGAAAGACCTAAAGAATATGAATTCCTGCAGTCACGAAAGCTTCAAGTCAAGATTTATGATGGGGGGTGTTCTCACATTTGTTTATTGTCAGGGGCTGCACGCCAGGGGCTGCACTAAAGGTCACCAGGGGCTGCCGGCGGCCCGCGGGCCTTGCAATGAAGAACACTGCTCTACATTCTCTTTAGGGGCCGTCCATATATGACGTCACACGATTTTGGACGATTTTTTACCCCCCCCTCGCCACACGGCGTCACAAAAAGTCAGACCCCCCCTCAAATATGATGTCACAAAGCTCTGCCCCCCCCCAAAACCATATTTCCATTTTGAAAATAAAACATGCTTCAAATCGCTTTAAACTATTGCCATTGTAGTGCGTATTTAATATGGAGCTGCACTCTGATGTTGTAGGAGTGTTGTTAGAACAATTAGTGTTGTTAGAACAATTATATATCTATTTAAAGTTGGGCATTTTGATGTGACGTCACATTTCTCACCCCCCCCCCCCCTCGTCACACATCGTCACAAATGTCTGACCCCCCTTCCCTAGGTGCGTGACGTCATTTATGGACGGCCCTTTAAACGTTGTATCCTTGGCAGCTTTTCGGCCTCGTGCCAGTGCAAGTCTGCCCTCTCCAGGTTGACCGTGATGTTGTGCCGCTTAGTAACGAGGGGCAGTGGGTCTACGAAGCTACCAAGCGTCCCTCAGTTTTGACTGACAGTCCCAGTTTCACAAAGGCCGTCTCCGCGTTCCGAAGGTTTTGTAAAAAAAAAAAATCGCGCTTTTGTCTCGTGCGTGATATGGGCCCAAGGTGACAAAGAGAAAGGTCGACTCACTGGGTGTGTGGGGGCAGCATGCTGAGCCTCCCAGAAATATGGTAGCTTCAACATAGTGCCCAGAATTGTTTCTGGCCTCAACATGGTCAGTGCGGGTAGGGTGGATCGTGGAAGTCAGTACGATTCAAGCAAATGGTTCGGTTTGGATGAGGCTCCGACAACACTCATCGCTGGGTGTAGAGGCTGGCTGAGAGGCCATGAATGTGACTGTGTGCAGCGAATGTATTGGGGGAGGTGTCCACTTTCCTCCGATGCCCTTAGACATGCAGATTTACACAACAGGTCTGCGTTTTACTCCCACTCTGCGTTATCTCCACGGTGCTTCCTTTACTTCCTGTAGGTAGGCAGCCTTGTGATTCTGTTCTAAATTGGCGGCTACTTTTGCTGAGTGTACATGACATTATGCATTCCCAAAAACAAAACAAAGAGAGGCTGATTTGTACGTTGGAGAGACCTGGCGAAATACGCGCGTGAAGTGCAATTGTGGCCCGTCATGAACAAAGCTTTTTACTGATCAAATGAGCATGGTGCCACTTTGGGTGACATTGACTGTTGACTTCCCATAAGAGTTTTTTTTGGGTTAGATCGCCTAAATATAAACGTGTCGTTAAACCCGCCACAACATGACAACACAACCAATTAGTAAGGTTTGTCACATAAACAAAACGTGCCAATTAGTTACTGGTACAGCACACCGGTGTGTTGGAGAGTAAACCCAGGACAAGATTTACAATTAGAGTACGATGTTTCGCCAGTAATTACAACCAGCATCATCAGGCGACAGCGAGATTTGTGGTGAAATCCTCCCGTTGACTTCCCACGGAACGACGCTCATTTAACCAGGCACAGGGGCAACGGCAAGGCCCCCCATCCTCCACAGATCGTAGTGTCACCCATTGTTTTTTTCGGATGGGGAAAACGTAAAAATTGCACACGTACAAAAACCCAGCACATATGTGCCATCTAAACAGCCCTCATAGCATGCTATCACCACCACAGTCGGTTCATAGATGTCCAATTGGACATCTCTGAACCTAAATAAATATTCAGATTCTCACAGGGTTTGTCATCTTGAATGGTGGTCGGGTTTATAAGAACCCTTTTTGCACCGTACGGAGCCGTGTACCGGACGGTGCCGTGCCGGGTCCGTGCCGAGCCAGCCTGGCGAGGCTCAGGAGGCACCGGATTGTTTTCCACTGCAGACCTCGAGGCGAGATGTTGGCGCGGGGAAAGGAGTGCCATGGTGGCGAGATGTTAACTACCTCGACTGGTATACAGGAGGTCGTGGGTTCGATCCCGACCCTGACTGCCTGCTGTATGTTTGGAGTTTGCATGTTAACTCCATGGTCGTGTCGATTTTTCTCCAGCTCCTCCGGTTTTCCCCTCCACGTTAAAATTAATGTACGTTTAGAGTATTTGGTTCCTGCTATAAATTTCCACGTGACAAGCCACTTCATTAAGCTATCACTTGTGGCCAGGTAGGTTCTGAAAAAGAACTGTATAGCTCAGTGGGCATTACCCGGTAAAATAGTCTCTTCTCCTGTTTTCAAAACGCGAATTTGATGTAATGCGATTAATGTATTTGGGAACACATTTTTATAACTTGGATGAGAAATTGATATAATGCGGTCGAGTGAATGGAACTATGTCGCGCGAGTAGGAACAAGTGGCCGTACGGCTGCCTGGGCATAGCATCACACACGGCGGGAGGCTGCTGGATGCTTCTCGATGCTACCCACGTGCCTGAGTCTTTGTTCAGCCTGCGTACGCATCTCACGTGTTACCGTGGACCGTGCTTTATATTATTTATTATAACGCAATTTTTCCATAATGCAGTGTTCTTCAGGAACACAACTACAACCGCATTATAGGAGAACAGACTGTAGTTTTTTTAAACAGATGTCTCCTTGCGGGGCCAGCGTATATCGCGGCTTGGCTCGGAAAAGTCAAATATCCGCTGTAAAACCGTCCGTACCGCGTCAGTGGAGAAGGGGGTATGGGTGTGAGGCAGGGGGCTCACGGGGCCGGGAGCGGTGGGCGAGAGGCGTACCATGGGAGGGGGGACGGCTGCACGGTGGCGGCTCGAGGCGTTTGTTGGCGTGGAAGTACTGCTTGAGCTCGCTCCACTGCGCCTCCGGGCCCTCGCTGCATCACAACGAGCGACGGGAACGATTAGACCCGCTGCGGTACGAAAACGAACGCAGTCTGCTTATGAGCTCTACTTCATCCCATCGGTGCACAGGTAAATGGATTTGTCCAGTAAGCGTACATACAGCAATCCCTCGGGTAATGTTTATAATCCGTTCCATGAAAACTACTCTGAACCGAAATAACTGTTAATCGAATTCACTGATGAGTTGAAAAATAAGTAAAAATCACGGAGTGTACAAGAGAGCTGTTTCCACTGACAAAACAGAAGACGTTGCAATGTAAACAGAGCCAGTCGAGGTCTCAACGCCCATAAATGGTGCATCGCTGATTGGCTGAGGCCGTGGCTCAGCCCCACTTACGAGCGCTCGGATTCGCCAAAATTGGCGCCATCGCGTGCATAACGTAAATGTGCCGCTAGTCATAATGTCAACGTCAGTCAAAACCATGAGATCCTATGGGGGGCGAAACGTTAACCCTAAAAACCGTTTACCGATGTCACTGCTAACCGAGGGACGACTGTCCTGTCGAACTGAATCGTGGTCATACCTGGCGGGACGGTCGCCTGGCTCGCCCTGTTGCTGTGGGATGGGCGAGTCGTGAGCTTTGTGTTTCCTCCTCCTCCTCTTCCGTGATGACCGTGTGGCTAGGAGGGTGTGAGCAGTGGAGGAGGATGTTCTCGTCAACGCAAGCCATGCGTACAATCCATCATAATAACAATCACAGTATCACTAACTTAGTGAGCGCACAAGAGCTCATTTAGCACACACACACATCTAAACAAAGGGCTTTGAGGAAAACTGAACAAGTGCAATGGTGCGTTGGGTGCAGCAGCTTCTCTCAAGCAATCTGGGCATGAAGTGAGAATGACACAAATGCTCCACGTGGCACACACAAGATGTGACGGGCAAGGCAAAGTTCGTACTTTCATCGTAGCGTCTCAAATCGTCCGTTGATCTTTTCACAAGCATCTCCCTCCGCCGTTGCAATTCAATAAACTTCTATCAGGAGACAAAAGTTTCAATTGTTAAACAGAACCCGGTGTTGGGAGAAGCATCACACACATTTGTATTTTATTATATTTTTTAAGATAAACAATGATTTAATGATGCAATACCATTAACATCTCACGGTGGTGAGATGTTAACTACCTCTCCTGGTATACAGGAGGTCGTAGGTTCGATCCCGATCCCGACGCCTGCTGTATAAAATCACGACGTTTCGGAGGCAACACAAGTCTCCGAAACGTCGTGATTTATTATTTTATTTCTATTATTAGTTTTATTAATTTTCATTTTATTTTTTACCTACGTGACTTTACCGAAAAAAACCTAAGAGTATGATTCCTTGCAGTCACGAAAGCTTCAAATCTAGAATGGAGTTGACGTGTCTCTCCCCGTTCCGTGTGCTCTCTCCGGGTCCTCCAGTTTTTGTCCCCTCCATATTTAGAATCAACGTGCGTATTTGGCTGCGATACATTTCCACATAAGCCACTTTGTTGATCTATCATTTGTGATAGCCAGTTTGTTTCTGAAAAAGAGCTTCATAGCTCGGTGGGCCTTAGCTGGTAAATAAAATTAATTGTAGTTTAATAGTTTACATAATGACCCACACCGCAGTGTCATTGAAACTCGGGCCTCACTGTTCCCCAGGGCCTTGCTGGTGCCAGATTCCAGCTTCAGTGTTGCAGCTGTAGCTCCACCATGTGTCTGTGCAATACAACAGCACTTCCTCCTCGTTGTCTTCCCCCCGCACCTATGAGCCCGGTTGGCTAGAAGTTCAACATACGTACATACACTCGCTTTATACGACTATTTCAAGATGTACTCATTCCTTTTGAGCACTTGCTATGATAAACTAAATCTATCAACAAATATCCATCTCTTCACATGTTTACCAACTATTTTTTGTAAAAGAATGTTAAGTAATGCTAAGTTGATGCTAAAACCTGTTGACTTCAATTCTCTTCTTGAACCGTCTGTTTCGTTGACAATTTGAAGGTTCAGGGGCTTCGGTTCAAGCACCCGGCCTGCGCTGACGTTGAACGCAGTCATGTCATGAACAGTCTCAGGCCACCGGTCAGGAGCAGCTGCTGTGTCGGTCACAACGTGGTCCATGCACCGGCAACGCGAACATCAACTCTGTGTAGATGTGACCACCCTGACGGGTCGCGGGAGGGTTATTGGCATGAAATTTGCCATGAAACTACCGCGTGGCCTAACCCCAAAAAAAAAAAATACCACAACAATCAGAAGTTCAACATACATAGATATCGACTACGAACCTACAATTTAAGTAAGATTGTTGATGTGGTTGTCGCGAGTGGTTGTCGCGAGTGGCTGTTGAGTGGTGTCTGTAACGAGTGTTTCTTGTGAGTGGTTGGCAGTGGTTGTTGTTGTTATTGTGCGAGTGGTGGATCATGGCTGGGTTTGCGGCTTCAGCAAGTGCAGTCTGAGATCAACTCCGTGTCACTGAGTGTGACACTGAGTGACGTCACTGAGTGTGTCACTGAGTGTGCACACCAGGTGAGTGAGTGAGACTGAGTGTGTCACTGAGTGTGCACACCAGGTGAGTGTGTCACTGAGTGGTGTCACTGAGTTTGCACACCAGGTGAGTGAGTGACACTGAGTGTGCACACCAGGTGAGTGAGTGACACTGAGTGTGCACACCAGGTGAGTGAGTGACACTGAGTGTGCACACCAGGTGAGTGTGTCACTGAGTGTGCACACCAGGTGAGTGAGTGACACTGAGTGAGTGACACTGAGTGTGCACACCAGGTGAGTGAGTGACACTGAGTGAGTGACACTGAGTGAGTGACACTGAGTGTGCTCACCAGGTGAGTGAGTGACACTGAGTGAGTGACACTGAGTGTGCACACCAGGTGAGTGAGTGACACTGAGTTTGCACACCAGGTGAGTGAGTGACACTGAGTGAGTGACACTGAGTGGCGTCACTGAGTGTGCTCACCAGGTGAGTGAGTGACACTGAGTGTGCACACCAGGTGAGTGAGTGACACTGAGTGAGTGACACTGAGTGGCGTCACTGAGTGTGCTCACCAGGTGAGTGAGTGACACTGAGTGAGTGACACTGAGTGTGTACACCAGGTGAGTGAGTGACACTGAGTGTGCACACCAGGTGAGTGAGTGACACTGAGTGAGTGACACTGAGTGAGTGACACTGAGTGTGCTCACCAGGTGAGTGAGTGACACTGAGTGAGTGACACTGAGTGTGCACACCAGGTGAGTGAGTGACACTGAGTGTGCACACCAGGTGAGTGAGTGACACTGAGTGTGTACACCAGGTGAGTGACACTGAGTGAGTGACACTGAGTGTGTACACCAGGTGAGTGAGTGACACTGAGTGAGTGACACTGAGTGTGTACACCAGGTGAGTGAGTGACACTGAGTGTGTACACCAGGTGAGTGAGTGACACTGAGTGAGTGACACTGAGTGTGTACACCAGGTGAGTGAGTGACACTGAGTGTGTACACCAGGTGAGTGAGTGACACTGAGTGAGTGACACTGAGTGTGTACACCAGGTGAGTGAGTGACACTGAGTGTGCACACCCGGTGAGTGAGTGACACTGAGTAGTTGTCGTGGTGGTTGCATGAGACTCGACCTGCCGAAGACCGCTCTGTCCCACAGCCTCGCGGATCCTCCTCGTCTCCTCCTGCCCATCGCTCTTCTCTTCACTCGCCTCCTCCCCCCTCTCCTCCCCATCTCTCCCCTCCTCCTCCCTCTCCTCCCCATCTCTCCCCTCCTCCCCCCTCTCCTCCCCATCTCTCTCCTCTCTCCCCACGCTCTCCATGTTGTTGTTGTCTTCGTCTCCGCGTCCACGGTCAGTGGGCACCGAGGAATCGACTTGGCAGAAAACACAAATCGATTCCGACATTAAGCTAATGGGGGATGTCGATTCAAACAACAAATTGTCAGAGAATCGATTCCCTGCGTTCCGGTATTGGGCGAATCGCGGTCGGTTGGTGATTGACGAGGGCGGGAATCGATTCCGCAGTCGGGGGTCGCGAGCGCGTGGCCTTGGGAAGCTTTCATCCAGCAGTGGATCGATCGCTGCTCCTGCTGACGATGATGCTGTGACACGTTGGGATCTTGCGCCTTCACAAAGTCACTGTTTCACTTGTTAACCTCGTTTTATGTCACCCCACTGAGCTATGCAGCTGCTTTTCAGAAGCTCCCTGGCCATCACGAATAAGCTCAACCGAGTGTCTTGCCATCATCGTGTGGAGATTGACAGCAGCCAAACAAACTCTAAACGCGTGGTGCTCATTCTGAATGTGGAGGGGGAAACCGGAGGACACCAAGAAATATCCACGCGACCGCCGGGAGAGAGAAACGCAAACTCCGAACACAGCAGGGGGGTCAGGTCGGGATCGAACCCATCTCCTGCTGCTGCTGCTCCTGCTGCTGCTCCTGCTGCTGCTGCTGCTCCTGCTGCTGCTGCTGCTCCTGCTGCTGCTCCTGCTGCTGCTGCTGCTCCTGCTGCTGCTCCTGCTGCTGCTGCTGCCCTGCTGCTGCTGCTGCTGCTGCTGCTGCTGCTCCTGCTGCTGCTGCTGCTCCTGCTGCTGCTCCTGCTGCTCCTGCTGCTGCTCCTGCTGCTGCTGCTCCTGCTGCTGCTGCCTGCTCCTGCCTGCTGCTCCTGCTGCTGCTGCTGCTGCTGCTCCTGCTGCTGCTGCTGCTCCTGCTGCTGCTGCTCCTGCTGCTGCTGCTCCTGCTGCTGCTGCTCCTGCTGCTGCTGCTCCTGCTGCTGCTGCTCTGCTGCTGCTGCTCCTGCTGCTGCTCCTGCTCCTGCTCTGCTGCTCCTGCTGCTGCTGCTCGCTGCTGCTGCTGCTCCTGCTGCTCTGCTGCTGCTGCTCCTGCTGCTCCTGCTCCTGCTGCTCCTGCCTGCTCTGCTGCTGCTCCTGCTGCTGCTGCTCCTGCTCCTGCTGCTCCTCCTGCTCCTGCTGCTGCTGCTGCTCCTGCTGCTCCTCCTGCTCCTGCTGCTGCTGCTCCTGCTGCTGCTGCTGCTCCTGCTGCTTGCTGCTGCTCCTCCTGCTCCTCCTGCTGCTGCTGCTCCTGCTGCTGCTGCTGCTCCTGCTGCTGCTGCTCCTGCTCCTGCTGCTGCTGCTCCTGCTGCTCCTCCTGCTCCTGCTGCTGCTGCTCCTGCTGCTGCTGCTCCTGCTGCTGCTGCTCCTCCTGCTCCTGCTGCTGCTGCTGCTCCTGCTGCTCCTGCTGCTGCTGCTCCTGCTGCTGCTCCTGCTGCTGCTGCTGATCCTGCTGCTGCTGCTGCTGCTCCTGCTGCTGCTGCTGCTGCTGATCCTGCTGCTGCTGCTCCTGCTGCTGCTGCTGCACAGCGGGCCTCGAGGTAGTGAACGTCTCACGCAGCACGCGGCTCGTCCACGACGTGAGGAGCGGTTTGGTCAAACTTCGCCTCGCGGCAGCGTCTCGAGCGGTGAGGCGCGGATCGCGATTCTCACGTCGCGATTCTCGGATCGCGTGGACGCGGGAATCGTCAGGAGCGCCGTGCGGCTGCGCGGCTCCCAAGCGATTAAATTCGCAACGCGCCCGACGACGATTCCCAATCGCGCTCGGATCGATTCTCTCAGTCGTGATTCCACGCGGAAATCGCGATCGTAGGAATCGACGGTGGGGTGATGGGGGGGGCGTTACGGGTCAAAGGTTACCGTGGGGGGGGGGGGGGCTCCGTGAATTCAAAGCCGCCACGTGGCCCCCCCTCACCCCCCAGCGCCACGAACGGCAGACACCACGAACAGCCTCACGCAGCGAGACGGCCACCCACTCGAGCGATACACATTCCCGCCGTTCGTCACGAAGTCGCGGTGACGTCGTCACGTCGGCTGTGCCAGGCTGGGTGCACTTTGTGGCCGCGTGAAGTGTCGAAGGCTCGCTGCCGACAGGTCACGGGACAGACCCAGCAGGTGCCATGGTTTGGCTGGCTGAGATGACTGGCAAGTGCACCAGCTGTGCCCCCGACTGCTCCAGCTGAGACTGATAACTCGCACAAACACCCACTCAAGATACCCAAGACTCGCGTAAATACCCATACTCGCAGAGACCTTTAGACTCATACTTTGGTTTTTCGGTAAAGTCACGTAGGTAAAAAATAAATAAATAATAAATCAAATCACGACGTTTCGGGCGCAACACAAGCGTCCTTCAGGTGGGGACAGCGTAGCAAAAGCACACCCGCTTACTTAAGCGGTTGACTTTACCGAAAAAACCAAAGAGTATGAATCCTTGCAGTCACGAAAGCTTCAAATCTACCTTTTGACTCGGTCTCAGAAACCCATAAACTCACGATTTTCAAAGATTGAGACTGCATTGCATAGATTTTTGCAAACTTGTCTTTTTCTTACGTGTTTCGTGAAATAGAGTAACCCAATTCTATCGAAACACGATCCAGGCCCCAAACGTGGCAGACTTCAGACATGGTGAAATTAAGTGCATTGCAATTCACTCGGCCATGCGTTGGGGCAGCATATCCTTGCCTTCGCCTCGCGATGTGCGAATACTCAGTCCGATATCCCCCACGACCCAAACAACACGGGCAGGCTCTAATCTAGCAGTGGATAGGCAAAGGGATGTACGCGTCCTCCCAGAATCCCTGTGAAATGCTTGTTGGGAGTATTCTAACCCGAAAGGATTCCGTGAGCAACTGTTGGGGGCTTGAAGGGATTTTGGGCAAATCTCTGGTTATGGATTGCTTATTTTCACCATCCATTGTTGGTGTTTGGTGCATTTTACTTGCTCTTGAAAATAATGAGTTGTGAAAAGCAAACCAGAACCCTCAAGAAAATAACGGAATGTGGTTGCCCGGATTAAATGTGGCGATCTGCAGTGAGAAGCCAGTTCTCGCTGCACTGTACAGGATGTCCTCTTGCAATTTAGAACTGCCCTCCATAGGCCCTGACAATAAAATACTTTAGAACGCACACAATATTTCAAAGATAAGACCGTGACGATTCGACAATCACTTCATCCACAAGTATGGCATATGTGTAGAGGTGTAATTGTGTATGGGCACGGATGGCTAACAAACACAAGGGGTGTGGTTAGGGCCGTACACAGAGGTGCTCACACCGACGTCCGCACCTGCATCCCCCACGGGCCCCTCCCGGGGGCCGATTGCTATAAAAGGTGGTGAGCCGGAGGGCTCGAGGTCGAGTATTAGCTTTAACCAGCTAAGAGTGAAGACCAGCTAGAATAGGCCCCGGAGCTCCCCTGGCTCGCTGTCCTTGTCAGGGCCGACCAGGGCAATCCGGTGGCGTGGCCCCGAGAGCCCAGACTGACGTTCTTATAAGAGCCGGTCTGGAGACTCAGGGTGCCGGGATCCCAGCTTGACCAAGGCTGGGATAGGTAGCCTCCCCTAGCTCCGTAGTGGAGGACTCGGGCGTAGGTTAGCGGGGTTAGACGTTGTCTCCCTGTTAAGACGAGTGAAGGGGACGATACCCCTTTAAGTGCTGTGTGTACCCGTTACTGTGCACAAGTTGGTGTTAATAAATAAGTGTGCCTCCGACCCCGTCGTCCAAGCCTCTTGCAACTTACTACATATGTACAATCGATATAAAACGTGGGGGTTCAATTAAGCATCGTCACGCTGGTCATGTACGTTTCTGTACTTCCCCAAAGAACCTTCTGCTCCGCTCCTACACCGCGTTCTGCATGGCGAACACCCCGAGGACGGGAGAGGATCAAGCATGGCTTGCCTTCCAGAAATCTGACAAACATCGTTGCATTCCGTGGCAGCTTGTCATTGGCCATCTGCAGTATATCGACTAATGGAATGGCAGCATCTGTTATAACTTGTGTGCTGAGCAGGTCAAAATAACATCACTGTCAAATGGATTCTGAAAATGGGCAGCAAATGCAAGTGGGTAGAATGATGCCAGCTATTTAAAGCCAATGCAATTGCTACATGCGAAGGATTCATGAAGGGTACACTTCTTAAATTCATGATTTTTCTCAGTTCAGCAAGGTCGAGTGGCAATAAAAACTGCGTGCGATTACTTTCCAACAATGTCACAATGCACACGATTGTGGATGTGCAGTTTATAAATGAGGAAAACCAAACACTTTGTTGTACATTTTATTTAAAGCATAATGAGTACAATAAAGTATGGAATGACAAGCAGTATTGTTCAGATTACATAATCTCAGTAAACCACGATCACCAGCAGCTCGGAGTGTACACGAAGCATGCACGGCTGCTGGTGACGACCCAAAAGCATTGCAAAAAAACAAAAATTCGTGATGGAAATTAAAAGCACTCATTTAAAGCAAAAAAATATCACTTTTGCTCTCACAAATGCCTAAAATTAAAGGAATGTTTTTAATTTGGAATGCACACATTACAGTGGACCGTTGGAACCGGAGGCATAACCCCCGACTTCCTCAATTTTACTAATGGATCAACAGATCGCATCTCTCACTTCCTGCCTTTGACAAAACACAACCCTTCCCCTGCCCTCGTTTGGTCTATCGTCATCCCTGCTGCCGTGCCTTTAGCTGGTAAGCACTGATACTGCAAATAATCAAACCGAAAAACAACCTCCCCCACACCGTGGACCTGGGGGTCACAATAAACGTGTCAACTGCTTATCGAAGGGGGCGTGATAATGATACACTGCGGTCTGAGAAATCGTGGAATAGAAAAAGGGGACGTGGGTGGCGGTGGTGGAATAACTTTGGATGGGCGCACAGCGCTGCTGGGCTACTGGTCGTCCTTGTCCTTGGCCCCATGCTTGAGGATCCTCGTGAACTCCACGTAGTTGAAGTTGCCCTTCTTGTCAATGGGCGCCTCGCGGTACAGCTCATCGACCTCTTCCTCCGTGAAGCGATCGCCCATTGTGGTGAGCAGCTCGCGCAGGTAGTCCTCGCTGATGATGCCTGCGTGCACACCGCAACGCATGCCGGGTCATTCAATCGTGCTCATCGTCACATTCATTCATCAATTAATCTATAGCCCTTTTTGTCAAACCACTGTCCGGAATTTCAGATACATCCTCGTGTGTGCGTGGATTGTTCCAGGTACTCGTGATTCCACCTAGAATTAAAGCTCTCAAACTTTGGCTCAACTATTGGTTGGAGGTCTCCCTACGCCATGTCGATCTACAGGGATTGGTTGACCATACTTCACCACGCTCGTCAGTGCGGGTTGGTCAAGGGTGAAGCTCAGAACCGGTTTCTGATACCATTCATTGCAAATGTTAGCCAGTGCAGGTAAACAAACTCAGGTTGCCGGGTTCAATTAAGTGGTCTATCCAACGCATCACCACTGCTCTATCCCCCTCTTAGCATAACTTGATAAATAACTCAATAAAGCTTGTTGATTATCCTTAATAAGTAATCTATGGGTGAGGGGTAGCACGGTTGGGGGGGTAGCATGGTGAAGAATAGCACGGTAGCACAGTTTGCTATATTACATACATCGTGGTTGATGCATTGCACTATAAACCATGGCGTCCCAAATATCAGCTACGGCTAGCATCAGTGGTGAGTGATTATAATCCACGCACATCAGGCCTTCATCCAGCAGTGCTTCGCAAACCGGTATGCAGCAGAACACCAACGTGTCTTGACAAAGTCCCGGGTGTACTGCCGTGGTATTAAACT